GGCAAAGGAAATGCTTTGTTAGCAGTCGCTCGATTGTCATTTGCGCACGTGCCAAGCAGGCCATAAACTATTCCACAGGTACCTATACAACTGGTGGATTGCCATGAAAGCCATGGTCAGGCGATACGAGTTGCCGACGCCAGCAGCCAAAGAGGCGCTGCACCAGGTATCAATGTACCCGGGCGTTGCGTCACTGTGGGTTTTATACGAGCTTTAAATACAATAAGAATCCATCTAAAGAAGGCGAAAGAAGAAAAGAAAGAACCCTTATTACCGAGAGATGACAAATCATAGTACGGACAAACATTGCAAGAGACTTTTGACGCGCAATGAAACAACCCATGCCAGTACCCAAGACTGCCTAATCTGCCGGCATTGCCCATTCATAAATAGACGAGTACTTTATTTTTGTGCTTGACGGGGGCACTGTCGCCGAGGTAGCCCTTTTCTATCTCTAGACAGATGGCACTTTCTAGGCCATCGCCAATCATGCAGTAAAATGGCGACTCTTTGGCACAACACCACGGAAAGCGACAGGCTTTCCATTGCTTTGGAATCATCGAAAAAGAAAATCGACACAAGAATTTGAACACAACAACAAGCTCCCAACAATTCTTCCAAAGCTATACACAGAGAACTGCCAATTTTGGAGATGATTTCCGCCCCCATTTAGAAGCCTCAAGCGTCGTCGCCCCCATTTCAAAGTGGTACTAACACCCCGCCGTTTGCACATACTTGTGTGGCTACGCCGCCCCAAAACAGTATTCTCCATCCTGCTGAGATACCCTTCACTCTACTGATTTTTCTCCTTCAAGTATCCCAGCCCTCGAATCTCGACGTAAACGCGCTTACATGACCAACACCATATAAAGCATCACGCTGCGCTTGCATTGTGCCAACTCCGTGTCCCGGTCGGACCGAGACCCCGGTCGGATCATCGGTCGTGGCGACTAATTCACGCATGTGCAGATTATCAGTATCAGAGGGAAAATGCAAGACATCCACGCAGATCTCCTTTGACATCATCATAATTTTGGAGCTGGGCGCTCGGATCTCACAAAGTGCCATTTTAACCGCGAGACAGACTATCCTTGCTGGTCACTGTCTAGACGACTCCCGCGGAATGACAACCTACCCTGCAGCTGTTTTGCAGTGCAATGTCGAACCATCACTGCGACTATGGCAATTCGATAATAATAAAAAAGACAAGAAAGATTGAGTACATGTGATTGTAGTTCAACAGAACCGGAAGCACATACATAAATCGGGTTAATCATCAAGTTTTTGGACGTGGTCCGTAGAGCATGGGCGTGATGTACCCAAAGTATCCGATGACGAGAAAATGAAAATATTTGACGTTATTGTTTAATGCAATCAATAACGTATCTCGGATCAATTGTGTATACATGAATACATAACTGTTCCTTGTTTTATGCAATCTTGCCCGAGACAACCAAAAAAAAAGAGAAGAAAAGGCAGGAAAAACTCCAATCACCCCCAAAACGCCATCAGAAAACAGAGCAAGGGAAAAAGTGCAAAATTTTGCTCGTCAACCTCTAGCGAGTGTCAGATCAAAGCAAAGGCAAGAATGAGACAGAAGAACACGACCCGATATATATACAAAAAGCTTCTCTCACCAGAGACAAGGCAAAGTCAAAAACACCAAACCTCCCAACAATGCCAATTTCCTCTTTCAGCTGTAACAGTAAAACTTTTTTCAAAGTTAGTCTTCTCGACTATTCAGGAGCTTCCTACGTCGACCGGCCGCTCACTCGCCACGGGCGGCGGAGGCGCCGGGGGCAACGGCGCCGGGTACGCCTTGCCGCCGTCGACAATGATTTGCTGGTCGATACGCTCGGTGACATTGGGCCCGGCCTCGACGCGCTTCCAGGTGAGGATGCGGGCGGCGTTGACATCGACCTCGTAGAGGCGGACGCGACGGAGGTAGCCGCCGTAGCCCGCGTAGCCGCCAAAGCCGACGCCGCCGGCGTAGCACATCCACATGGCTGGGTCGCGGCGCTCGCCCTTGGTGGAGAGGATGCAGTAGTCGTTGACGTGGTCGCTGATGACATGCGTTAGATGTGTGTTCCGGGACGAGATGACAACGGAATGCAACAAAGAAGACGGGGAGTAGGGGATACGTACTGTCCGGCGCTGACCATGAGTATGCCCTTGTCGACGAGAGCATCGCGGAATCCCGGGTTAAAAACCGGGGCGGTGACACCCTCGCGCCAGCTGCCGACCCATGTCTGGTTGTAGTCGGAGTACTCGGTAATGGGGATGTGGATAAAAGCAATATCCATGTGCTGGTGGCTGTACTCGGCGTGCGGCTTGACGAGGCGGTCGGCCGTCTTGTTGAACCACTCAATCTGACTGGGCTTGACCCAGTCGTAGCCAGGGTACTTTTTCTCGTTGGGCGAGTACGAGTGCGTGTCAAAAAAGTAAATGGTAATGGCGGAGTGGTCGGAGCCACCGCGGCCGAGCACCTCGACGTAGTAGTTGCCGACGCCGTCAATCTCGGCCGGGCCGGCCGTGGCCAGCGAGTAGGGCAGGGATTCCATTATGGCCATTTGCGCCTCGCGGCTCATGGCCTGCGCGTCGTCATGGTTGCCGAAAATGGCGGCGTAGGGAAGTTTGCGCTCCTTGAGCTTAAGAGCAATCTTGAAAATGGCCTGGCCTTGGTTTAGTTGCCGTCATCTCCCTGTACTAGGCATGAAACAACTTACAGATTGCGGATCGCGCGCGGTTTCGCCGTTTACCTGATCACCGCTGAGTACCACAAAGTCGGGTTTTTCCTCGTCAATCATCTTGTCGACAAATTCCAACGTCCTCGGGTCTGCTTCGCATTTTTCGCCCTTGGCAAGTTCGGGGTAGACGTCACGGCACAGGCCGACGCCGGTGCTTAGGTGGAGATCGGCAATCTGCAGAATCTTGAACTTGCCACTGTCGGGGATGCGTGGCTTGGGCTTCTTTTGCTCGATGGGCGCGCCGCGACGAACGGTAACGTGCGCCGAGTGGAATGTGCCGCTCGAGTCAATTTGAAGGGGTGTACCCCGGATTGCCCAGCCGTCGCGGGCCTCGACGGCATCGTCGCCGAAGAGAACGTCGACGTTTGTGATGGCCTCTTTCGAATCACTCGCCACTTTCTGCGAAGAGCGCTTCACCCAAATGCCACCGGGCCGCGACTCCCAGACCGCATGCGAGTCGGGCTTTTCGTCCACGGGCTTCATGGGGCCAACCTTTAAATCCACGACGACGACGTCGCCTTCCGTCAGCTCCTCCTCGTGCTTTCGACTGACGAAAAGGTACGCGTTTGTCATCCAAGCCTGGCCGAGAAAGAGCTCCTTATCTATGCGATGCCACTTGTTGGGGTTGAGATCGCATTTCGAGAGCGGGTTGACAGTCGAGCATGTCACCAGCGTCACGTCGGTGACGACATGGCCGGGATGGTGCGTCGGTAGGTAGTTGTGTAGCGATGTCGGCAGGACTCTGTAGCTTCGGTCGAGGAAGAGCACCACCAGTACGGTGAAGACTGCCGCTGCAGTCAGTTGTATTAAATTGCGAACCTGTCGTGGTCACGCGATTAGTGGCGGTCGGGAATGCATCATATGGGCGGGCAGAGCTCACAATGCGTCGCGTCATTTTGTGATTGATTGATGAGTAAAATAGAACGTTTAGAAAGTATACGGGCCGACACTATGCGGCAAAGGCAATGTATCGCTGCGAGATGCCGTCGACGGGGATAATCTCGTGCGGTTGGACTGATGCGCTGCGTCCGATCTCAACTATCGCATCGTGGTAGAGACGTCGGTCAAGCAAGGTCGGAGAAGTCGTGTGTACGGTGATAGTCGGAAGTTATGGCAATGTGAAAGCCGGTGGGATCGTGAGAGCGCTCGCAGAGATGCGATGCTGAAAGGAGGCGAGTCGTGTGCCGTAGATCATGGATGGAGGATGGAGCGTGAACGGCCCCTTCGGACGGTTGCAGCTTGCCAGTAATAATGCAAGCTCCTTGGCAGAAAAAGTAGCTGCTCCATCAGGCCAGAGTTGACCCACGGTGGAGAGTGCCGAAACCCTTTACAGACTGGCAGTGAGGTTGATATTGGAGAGTGAGCATCGTAAAAGTGGCAAAAAGTACATTCTTACAATATGATGCCAATCATACATGAATACGGATATCAGATGCCATTTGCGCTCAATTTCACGGGCGCGGAAGCCGTGCACACCCAGCGGGCTGCCAGCATTGGTTACGGACGCCCATCAACACGCAGGCAGGTATTTGTATTTAGACGTCAAGTGTCACACCAGGCATGTGCAGATGGACTGATATTATTGACTGGTCAAGTTCCACGGATGTGCTCTATTTAAGAGAAACACGTTGCCCTTTTTTTTGCCCCTACTTGTTTCTTGCATATAAACATCTCGACTCGTTTTTTGTGCCATGACATACATGTACCTCGGTACTTCCAAACTGGCGCGTTTCTTATGCATCAACATGTATCTTTTACCTGTAGCTACCCGTCTTGCAGTGAGCCCACTGTACTGTTGTCGGGTACCTATTCACCTACCTAGCTTCATAGCAACGCGCGCGCGCCAACTCTCTTGATTCATCCTAATCCATCACCAATCTCGCCCATCGACATCCATCGTTACGCGTTTCACCCATTACAAGTAGTCAAGCACAAACGAAAAATCGTACAGCAGCTATTACTACGGTCCACTGCTCGCGACTGCGCGCAATCGCTCTGCGCCGCTCCCCTCCAATCGGCGCTTGCACTCCCATTGTTTCGCGACAGCCACACAAGAATCTTCTTCACGCATCACACCTCATCGACGACCGTCATCGCCATGGCCGACTACGCCTCATTAAAAGTGCCGGAGCTCAAGAAGCTCTTGGCTGAGCGCAAGCTTCCACAGACGGGCAACAAGGCCGACCTGGTTGCTCGCCTCCAAGAGGAAGACAGCAAGCCCGACGGCGATTCAGAGGTCAAACCTGGTATGTTGGGTCGCGCGCTACGCCGGGAAGATACGCATATAGGCATATGAGCAAATGTTTCTTTAGCCAAGCTTATGCAACGCACCTGCAACGCAAATGCGACACGGAGACACGAAATTAACATGCCTACTTAGCTGCCAAAGACGATGAGATTACCTACAGCGACGACGAAGGTGCGAAGCCCACCACTACCACCCCCGCCGCTCCCGCCGAGGCTGCTTCCGCGGCTCCCGCTGCTGCTACCCCCGTTGCTGCGGCTGCGTCTGCGTCTACGGATGCGACCGCAGATGCTGCCGCGCCTGCTGAGGGCAATGCCGTCGCCGCCGAGCCCGCCGAGCCCGCCGCGCCTCCTCCCTCATTTGTCATGGGCCTCTCCTCCACGACCGCCGAGGAAGAAGCCAAGAAGCGCGCCAACCGTGCGAAGCGATTCGGCATCGAACAGGACGACGAGGACTTTAAGAAGCGCGCCGAGCGCACCGCTCGATTCGGCCTCGAGGACAAGGACGTCTCCGGCCTCGATGCGGCTCTGCCCGAGCGGCCCCTCAAGCGCGGCCGCGGTCAGAACCAGGACGGACACCGGCCTGGAAAGCGCCAGAGCACAGATCGCAGAGGGAACGACCGACGCAACGGCCGCCATGGCCGTCAAGGCGGTGGCGGCGGCGGCGGCGGCAACGCCCAGGCAAGGGGCTCTCGTACTTTGCTTGATCCTGCCGAAAAGGCCAAGGCCGAGCAGCGTGCTGCTCGATTTGCTGCTGCTTGATCAGGTATCATGGGCTAAAGGAGGGAAGTGTTAGATTCGAAAATTACAAAAAAATGTGAAATTTGTGCCAGATTTGCCCCGTCCAACGATAAATGTAAACTGAGCGAGTTTTCGATTGAACACTGCGGTATACCCTGTAGTGACTCGTATTCCCTCATCATATCTCTTTCGATTGTTGCCAAACGCAAACGCAACACCGCGTTGAGCATGCAAACATTCATGTCAACCTAGAGATTCATTATTTGAAAGTTACGCAATCAAGACTGTCAATTGACATTGTTCGGTAGCTTGTACAACTGCCGGCGCAAACGAGGCCTTGGGAACATACTACCTAAATTGCAACGCCTACCTCGCGGTCGAGGCTTTCATACAAGTGTCCAAGCTTGTTTGTTTCACGAAAGAAGTACAGATATCTCGGGCAGGCTTGCATGCGTTTTCAATAGTTTAGTTATACTGCATGACCCATTGGGCCATTGTTGCCCAACGTCCCCAGGTGCGGAATCGAGCCCTGCATCTCATCTTGGCTGCATGCGGTGCAATATGGTAATTAATCAACCGCATAGATTGTCTTACTCTAGAGCATAGGTTCCTGCCGCGTGCGTTTTACATTACATGGAATCGCTGCATGCCCTTACCCACACAGACCATCCCTCCACGGGCAAGAATCGGGGCTAAGATGGAACTGTATGTGACACGCCACATGCCATGAATGTGGTGCAGTCGGTCGACGGCACGCCTACATCCTAGAAAGACTGGTCCGTCGGGTTGCGATGAGCGATCTCGGCCAAGAAGATGGCATGAAGACGGGTAATAACCACCCCGTAGCGGCGTCGGCTCCGATGTGATTCCGGCATTTTAGTGCTCACGCAGTCACTCGGAGCTGATTGCCCAGCGAATGAGATGCGAGCGGTACGCGCCGAGGGTGACCTAACTCGGGACCGGGCGCAGTGTCGAATTGGGAACCCGTTTCCCACAGTTGTTCATTCAATGACATGTCAACACTCAACCGCCACAACAAGGTCCGAGGTCGAGTATCCTTGGCGAACTATATTTCGCTGCCAGCTATCGTTTTTACCATGCTGACGAGAATGTGTAAAGGCCATATGACTCCGGTGCCACAGACTGAAGCTTGCTAAACAATGTTGCCTGCAGCCCGCCGAGTCGTCATCACCTTCGAGTGTCATGAATGGCGAAGACTAAAGTAGCCGAGGCTTCAATGTGGAAATGACGCAGGCGAGCAGCCATTCGATAGGGCGAGAATCGATTTCAGCGATGAGGCCTATCCATGCGTTGCGATGACAGCTCTGGCCTTGTGACCCGTCGATGACCAAGCAAGTCAGCTCTGACTTGAGAAGCGTTGGTATGAGTGGTAGCCAAGACGGCAATAGGCGCGAAGGCTTCATAGCCATCAGGGTGTGTAGAGAGGACCCCGAATCATTGGGGGGTTCTGTAGCGCTGAACAAATCCCACGCATCGTAGGTGAGCCAGCCAGATCAATAAGCTTCACCATCATGACCCTGTCAACAAAAGGCAAACCGGCGTAGGGGGGGGGGGGTTCAGCCGCACTCCACCACTGACCAGTATGAAGCAGAGCAAGGCGCTCGAGCACGTGAATTAACTTGCACGCGCAGAGCCAGAATGGCGTGTCACAAGTACAACTTGCATTTCTGGCCAGTCAATGTGTATAGAGGCGCAAAAGTGAGGCTCGTGAGGCTCCTGTCGGGGGTTGGTCCAGTTATCCCAGCAGCCAATGGTGTGGCCGAGCGGGCAACTTGCCCAGACGATCGACCCGGGCGCGGTAACTCATTGGCGCTGGCAGGAATAGACACACTTTTTGCGCAGCGCGATTCGTCAGAAAGCCAGCAGGCTGGAAGGGTAGGGCGCTCCAGACGTTAGGGATGCGGCGTAGCATTGAGTGGTCATCAGTAGCCGGCGTGCCGGTTTGCCTGCGTCTCGCATCGGCTTGCTGGTTTCGTTCCTATTCAACTCGACAGAAAGAGGCAGAGGCAGAGGCAGAGTGGACAGAAGAATGTCGTCAAAGGAATCCCTGCTATCGAACACCGCGACGATATGTCATCTGACCATTGGCCCTGCCGCTCCGAAAGAGCGGTCGGCGACGTCGGGTGACCTCATAGGGCATGGCGATACCGGGCTTGCGGGCGAGCAATAGGCGGCGAGGACGGTTTTCGTATCTGGCTCGGCAATGGACTGGGAGAAGAGTCATCTACGATTACCCAGTCCAGCCAAGCATACCCTTAGGGCTGTTTGCCACCTTGTCGATGCCGGACTGGTCTGCAACTGGGTAGGCAATTGTCACTGTTGAGTGGTTGCAGCTTCGTGCTAGCTTCGGACCAGCCCGCTGTTGCGCATTTTACGCCTTCGAGGCGTGGCCTGCTTGCCTGCCACGTCACTAGCCTCACTGGGGCGGCGGTTAATCCAACTGTGGCCGTGCCGTGTGTGGCGAAGCTTCGCTGTCGGTACTCGGGATGGCTGCTGCCGTTTGCATTTGCGTTTGGCATCCCGGCTGCCTCTCTTAATGCCCAACCCCAAACCCTGGCTCTAGATCCCAACGCCATTGTTCCATCACACGCTTAGCCGTCCCAAGATGCGAGTCCTGCAGCTCCAAGGGTCGACCCATCGATATGGCTCACAGGTGCATTAGCTCACGTCTGCCAGGCCGCCGCTACGATGCAAATAGGTATTACGCGGGCTGGCACTGCACGCTTTTCAGCTTGGCAGGCTGGCTGCAGCAAATTTTCGCCTAGGTATGCAGTACTGCAGCACTGCCTTGTTCGCCTTTGCTTACCAAGTATACGTACCAAGTCAATATCGGCATTACCAAGAATAGCATTGTCGAAGATTGCCTCGTTGCCTCTTTGTCTACTCCGTATTCTACAACGATCTGGTGCCAACGAAGCTTTCAAAGTAGACATCGGTAAGAATGCCTGACAGCGTGGCAGTTTCGCCACTAATGGCAAAGTTGAGATTTGTACAACAACTTCGGCAGTCAATAATCGACACTATTGCCTACTGGACCCGGGTGTGAGGCTACAATGACCGGCCGAGAAGCCAATGCCGTCATCAAGCCCGGAATCAGTTGTCTCTAATAACCAAAAGAAATCGGCTGATGCTTCTGCTCGTAGTTAAACGAGCCACGCGCACGAAATGGCTTCACTGCGGCTCTCCGAATACCCTTACAGGGCACAGGGGCCAGGACAATGCGACGCCACTGAACAATTATTGTCCAATCGCGGTGGCGCTGCATTTCTAGGTACAGAATTTCAGCCAATTGTTTGGCTCTGTTCAACCCCAGACCAAATGGCGCGAGACTGTCGCGAGGGAAAGGAGAGGTGGATGATGTGGACTTTTCATTGTTTGCTCTCCCACCACCATGAATGGGGCGGGGGATCCTTCCGGTGCATAGTGTGTGCGGCTTAACTCTAGCTTCATGCTACATACGGGAGGGTGTGATATCTGATGCTTTCTCATCATTTATGACGAGCCCTGCAAAAGTTTTCGAATCCATTCTATGCTCAGCGCTACCAGCACGATTGATCTTGGCGGAGACCAGTAATCTCATAGAGGCCATCGTGCGGGCCATGCAGGTCGAAACTGGAAGCACACGACGATCACTTACATGTCCATCTCTGGTGGGACCTGACCCTGAGCTGAGGTTTGCTTGACACCAATCGCACATTTGAGCCAGCCCCTTGTCCGGCCGTTTGGCCGTCTTCGGCCTATTCGTCTACCAGCAATATCATTCGCAGCTAAGTTGCGCTCCTGAGAACAAGCAGTGAGCACAGCATGTCTTGCAAGGTTGCCAGGCTCCTTGCAATTACGATTCAAGATTGCTGCATTGACGGCAGGCTCCAATACTCGATTCCTACACATAATCGGCCGATTTCATAGACAAGACAAAAAGCCGTAGCGGTCAGTGCCATGGGGCCATTTGAATCTGCTAGCGCTGCGCTAATACTTTGCTGGCAGCGGTTACCTTACTGGTAAACTTCGACTTCAATAGCATTGTGCTCGAGTGTGGGTGACGGTTTACCGGGTGGCCATTCGGCGCGCGCCATTTTCCTCGTTGCTGCTTAATGGGCCATTCTCCAGTTCGCTTCCCAGATCGTCCTGTCGGAGGCGAATCAGTAAGACATGCAGAGCTGTATGTCTAGGACACGCAGCTACGACCCTGTCAAAAAGTTTGGCAGCATCCATCTCTCCGCGAGCCTGCTTGCCTACTCAACGAAGCGGCGGCGTAACCCCCAAGCGTGAGACCAAGAATTATCAACGCGTGAGACTCCATTGGAACACGCTGGTGCTCCCAATTGCTATGTAAGCTTAGAGAAGACGAGAAGCTTTCGGTATGCTCACAAAACTACCCAAGTATCCAGTCCAACGGTAGCAGAGCGTATCAGCCCTCTGGTATCCGTCTTTTAGCGTCTAGCTAACAGCGTCATCCCCTCTAGTTTTCGATGTGATATCCACACATCCACAACCAACTACCAACGGCAATCCATGGCCACGGGCCATAGCACCACCACAAGCACCACCACAGGGTTGTTTTTGCGCGATTCTCTCGCACGCTACAGACCCTCCTGGTTTAGGGCCCGCCGGGCCATTCCTTGCTTGCCGGGTTCCAGGGACAAGAAGAATTCCCACGTCAGCTGTTTGTGGTCCAGCACAATGAAAAGGTTTGCCAGTGGCAGCTCTTGTACCTAGATACCTCGTACCAAGCAAGGCCCACTGTGTGCGCCGCACTTCAGTTGGTGGTCGCACGCTCACCAGAGACACCAGGTTGAAGGCCCGCTCCCCCATGCCTGCAGGGGGTGTACCGTGTTGATGCCCAATTGCAGCGCTATCCCGGTACCGTTGCCCTCCCATAGGACAAGCTGCGCATGCACGTTGATGGACAGGATGCCACTTGCATCACGGCGCAGTTCGCCTGTTAAGTGGCTGCTTTGAGGCCCGCCCGTCCACCCAACAAGATTTCTGTAAGGTCGTGGGTTGCATCCTGATACTATGCCCAAGTTGGCTCTTCGTCCTTTTGGCGTTCGGCGAGTCCAGATATAGGGGTGGGCTCTCCTTGGGGATATGCGGCCAGGGTCGGCGGCCTTGTCGCCAAAATAGAGCAAAGTTCTGCACGCCTCTGGACTTTTGTACAAGTGCCGCCACCAGATCCCAGAGCTGCACTCGTGTCCATTCATACTTGTGCCTGTCTCTCTCCTCTCGCCCACACCACTGCCTTGCCGGAGTCTTGTTGCTCGTCTAAATACCATGGCTATTCCGGTAGCCACACCACCTTGATATATCTCAATCTCTTCTCATCTATCGTCCTTGCTGGTCATTGACTCTGGCGCTTAACCTCTACCTGAGCACGGTCCGGCAAAGCGTTTCTGTGCTATCCAAAAGTCGACTTCTTTCCCTTTTTGTCTTATTCACGTCATTAATACCTTCGCACTACGCCACAGTTTTTTTTTGATAATTTTTTATTCCTTTTCAAAATCTTCCTCACACCGGCAGAGAGAAATTTACCAGTCATTGGCCCCAGTCCGCTTACCCGCACACTGTCGATTTTCGCTCCCCACCACCACTACCTCGCACCGATTTCCCCGACCGCTGCTCTACTTCGTATTCACCTTTGGCGTGTCAATATTTGAAATCGACTTCTTCCTGTTGACCGCCTAAAACAACAGTCCGCTATACACAAGTTAACAAGCTACTGGTGGCCTTTATACAGTGGCTTTACCTGCGCGTAAGTTGCGAAAGCCTCGCGACCTACTCACCCATTTGCACCTGGGCCAAGAAGAAACTTATTATTGGTACAAAGAGGCAACTCTCTGAGAAAGAAATCTCCCAGCTCACTTACCAGCCTTTAACCGGCGCAAGAGCTTAAAATAGCTTTGCGTCACTGCTTGAACTGTGCAGCGATACACAGCGTCGTAAAGCAGATTATCACTACTATGAGTTCAACCTGCTAGAAATTCTTTGCTTGATGCACCGCCACCATGGCATCCCTCAAGCGAGAGGTTGGGGGATACGGCCTGCCTGCAAATCCCTCTGATGGCGTACGGCCCAAGAAAACGCAGGCTTCTGCCGCAGGCGGCCTGCCTCGACCTGTCAATTCAAATGTCGTTCGGGAAGCAACTTCAACCAAGCCAGAACAGCCCAAACAACACCATTCGAGAATACCAAGTAGGTCGATGCGACCAACAGGAAGATCAGAATCCGGGCTGCCAGTTCCTACCTCCCCGTCACAGAGCCACGAACCCAGGCGACTGCCCTCTACCAGCGTTTCTGGTTCCGCTTCTTCTCGAAGTCGGACCCAGGGCAGCCTCGACTCGTCCTCTTCGGGCATATCTTACGACAGCAGCCTGAAAAGTCTGGGCGAAAACTCCACTAAAAGGAGGTCGATTACATCTCGCAACGTAACAGTCCCCGACGACAATCGCCGCGTTTCGCCATCACCCAAAAGACAGTCCATGGCATCGATTGATGAAGCGCTTGATGTTTATCTCGATGTTGGCTCAAGGTCGGCAAAGCCAGATCCGACAGCCTCGAAGAAATCACCGGACTTGTCCTCGGCCGCTCCAAAGGCGCCATTCATCTATCCCGAGCTAGACCGCTATCGCAACCATGAAATGCAAACCTCACTGGGGCTCCGCAGGCCATCTACCGAAGGTCTGTACAAATTATCAACTCATGACCTACCGCCTCCAACTCCTGCTAGCGTCGTCTATTCAGGAAGTAGTTCACAGTTGAGTGCGGTCAGTGCTAGCCCGTCAACCAAGTTCTCCGTGTCTCCTGGACCAGGCCCTTACAGCCGCGACACTACACCAACTTCATTCTCGTCACAGTCGCCCGGTTTGGTTGCACCCAGCCGACCAAGCTACTACACAAAGCCGAAACAAACAAGCCCAGCCTACTCTAGGCCCCCTGTTACCCGCCGACGAACTGGCAGCATTTCTCAGGACGCTGATTCAACAGCTGCCGACCCCCGGGGCCTAGATGCTGTTCGAGAATCTGTTACTTCCTCTTCATCAAGCTCAACCGTCCGAGATGGGGGCAGAACTACGCCGCGAAAGCGCTCAGGCAAGATTTTAGCTGCGCCACCTAACCCACCGCCCAGGAAGTCGTCCCAGAGATTCCGAAGAAGCAAAGAAGACAATGCGACGGAAGAAGAAAAGATGCCAGATATTGGCAGTAAAGGAAAAGGCACAACTTCACCCCCGCAAAGGCCAGCAATACCGCTTCGCCCGAGTCGCAGAGGAACACCGGACTTGAAATCGCAATTGTTCGAACCTATTCCAGTCATCCAAAGCAACTTGCGCAGTAGCAAACCCAGCTTGGGTGACAGAAGGGGAAGCGAATCCGCCAGCCACTCGCGCAAGTTATCGTCCCCAATCAAGCCCAAGAAGAATGCATCGGTCTCGCACATTCCAGTTGAGACGAACAGCGCTCCAGCGTCGAACCCAGCATCCCGACCACAAACGGCTAAGTCCACTTCGAGCGGTAAATCCTTTGCAACTAGCCGTTTCAACTTCTTTGTACGCAGAAGGGCGAGCGAGGATCAAGAAGAGACAAAGGACGCACGGAAGCTTGCAAGAAAAGGTCCAGCGGCTGGCACAGGCCATGAAGGATACGGAAAGATTGGTGCTGTGCGTCGCCGGAGCGGTGGTGCCCCTAACACCTACAATTATGCCGGGCCACAGGCATCGCAAGAGACAATCACAAGTGAAGACTCATTCCTCGCTGACCGCATGAACCCTGTCGTCATTGCCGGCGGCGGAGTGATAGAAAATAGGAATCAGAGCCTCGAACATTCCCCAGTGGACTGTAATGCTGGTCAGCCTTTCAGCAGCGAGATCGTTGAGCACTCAAGCAAACTTCAGCCATCTCTACTACCATACCGGGAACATCGTTTCTACAGCAGCAGCGACTCTGAAGACGGAATCGAACGACCGACTTTGGCTCTTCGCCGCTCGGTCCAGAGATTACAAACCGCTCCCGATAGCCCTCTTCGTCTACCACAGCCTATCAATACGTCAGGTATATCGGGCTCGCCTCTCACAAGCATCGGCACAAGCATAATGTCTGACGACTCTCAATTGGAGCTCCACAGAGATCGCTCACAAGACTCTACCATCTCACAGCAAGCTCCTCGCAAGTTGAAGAAGAAACAGCGTTCGCCGCGAAAGTGGAACTTCTTCGGGCGGACCAAGACTTTGCCTGAACCCGAGAAGGTTTCAAGTGCTACTGTTGCTGCGACTGTGACAACCGTGGAAGTTGACAAGCGTCCTGTACCCTTCTATGCGATTATGGATCCTTCAGAACATGGAGATGCCGAGGACCCCCAAGTCCACGACGTCTTATATGCCGCGAATCTTCTTCCACAGTGCCCCACGGCTAGCTACTCTGAGATTCAACACCCATCGCCTGCTCTTGATAGTGCCGTGACTGCCAGCACGTCAGCGCCTGCCTTGAACGAACGAGTTATCCCAGGGCCGGTCCGCAGACCGAGTCGATTACAGCAAGTTGGGCGCATTCCTAAAGTTGCCACTCGCTACCACAATCCTGCCTCTCCCAGAAGCTTTTCCCGACCCTTCGGGGCGAGTTTGTCACGAGATCCTGGTTCTGCGGCACCAAAGGAGGCTGAATTAATGACGACAGGCCTCGAGCCGTTATCCTCAAAAGCAGCCCCCGGTTTGTACCTGGGCGAGTCGATGCCTGGAAACACTACTCATACTGTTTCGTTAGATTCCCATCACAACAGCAGCACCATTGGTGACACACCAAACGGAGAATTTTTGTCACTTTCGCCAAGAAAGTTCTCTGTTGGGACGGCTTGCACAAGCTCTAGCTCGTCCGGGTTCTTTGGCTACGCCGGAGCTACAGCTATCATCCCTAAGCCAGATGATCCACCGGCTGAAGATGAGGTTTGGGATGAGTACAACGATCTTTTGGGAGAGGACCAAGAGCGTCTGAGGCGATCCACGACGTCTTCGCGAGGTATTCCGTTCCACCTGGAAGCTTATCAAGAGAAGCTCGGTAAAGGAACTCGGCTTGAGTCCCCGGTTGTCGCAGAGAGAAAAATTTCCATGCTCTCCGACGCGTCGCGTTCAAGCTATTGCAGTGCCGACATGACTGAGAGGCTGAGGGCGGCGTTCCAGCCGCACCACTCTACCTTAGCTACGGGTAACGAAAGCGTCCGGACGAAACGAAGGAGTACCGAGCCTGCTGGATCGCGGCGTCACAGCTCTGGCTCTGTCAAGACTCGATTTTCTGGGAGCAGCTCCAGTTCATTCGACTACAGCTCACCATTGGCGCAAGTCAATCTCCGCGTCGGCTCCATGACTGTCAGCAAGTGGCTTACGTTTGGGCATGTTTTGTTCAGTGACATTCGTCACGAATTGATAGTAGACAAGTCGGACTCTAGAGCCTCTCGCCACTCTATCTTGGTAATCGACGGACTTGGGAACGATGACTGGTCTTTCTACGTTGCCGAGACTTTTCCCAAGGCCAACTTTTACAATCTCTCTCCAAGAGCTCCATTGGCCGAGAGGACTAACAAGGGTGAAACAAGTGCGCTCCTCAGCCCGCCAAATCATCATCAAGTACAGTATCTCAGCCATCTGGCCAAATTCCCTTTTGCTCCCCAGAGCTTTGACTCTGTCGTGTACCGATTCCCGATCGCTGCGCCCGAATCGCACTATCGCAACATCATTGCCGAGTCGCGGCGTGTCTTGAAGCCTGGAGGATATCTCGAGCTGGCCATTCTTGATCTTGATCTGAACAACATGGGTAACAGGGGACGACGCACGATTCGGCAACTCAAAGAAATGATTCATGAGCAGTCGCCTGCGACGAGTCTCGCCTCGGCTGCCGATATTCTGGTCAAGCTGCTTGGCAGAGGCGGCTTCTCGGGCATACGGGCCGCCAAGGTCGGGGTGCCCGTGGCAAGCTCCATCGTCCAGCCCAGAAGCAGCAGCAGCTCATTCACCAAGAAGCCGTCACCGCAAGCGCCGCTTAGCCTCTCGGACATGATGAAGGAGAATGGCCCTGCCGCGGACGCCAACATTACCAAGATGGTGACGCGCGTCGGCCGCTGGTGGTACACGCGCTGCTACGAGAACGCAGCGGGCGCCAAAGAAGGGCGCAAGAGCATTTGGGATGACAAGGCGCTATTGCATGAGTGTCAAGAGCTAGGCACCAGCCTGAAGCTTACTGTCTGCTGCGCGCGTGCTCCAGACCGAGTGACTAGCCTGTAGCAGTCGGGTCTGTACAACTTTTTCTTTATATTTTGTTTCCTTATTCCCTTTCTCTTTTCCCTCTTTTAGAGACGTGTCGCGGAGAAAGCGCAAGCTCTTCCATTGGCTACCAAGGCCAATGGCGGCGACATTTTGCTGTTGGAACCACCAAAAAAAGACTGGGCAGGATCAGCTCTGCCAATTATACGCTCAGTGCGGCGAGGGCTCACGCCCGAATAGGGTGTTTCTGGTGTTCCAAGATGCTCTGATTCTTTCTTTTCCCTTGATCTTGATTTATCTCTTCAGAAAGCTGCATGGTCCAGTTTCTTTCCTACGCCGGATGATGGTGTCATTGCTTGACCAATTCCATCCAAGTCTTCTCTGGGCTTGCTCTCGTGCCAGCAGCACGGGTCCCAGCTTTCGAAGCCGTGCTGGACATGTTGCTTTTCTTTTCTTGTTCGTGTTTTTGTTTTGCGCTTTTCATCCCATTTGCATATTGTTTTTCGTCAGTGGGCATATATTATATTGGGGAATTAATGTCGTCATGATGGCATGAAACTAGGCGGCTTTACAGAAAAAGGTCTTTTTCGGGACCGATTGGGTTGTTTCTGCGTATATGCATCTAGATACCCCCATCACATTATTTCATGGCTTGGATAGCGTTGGCATAATTAGCAGGCGGTTACTGATGATTGATATTGAGTTGATTTCTGCACTTTCTCGTACAATGTCGCGATTTTTTATCTGATCTACAAGGTGGTGTACATGTGTGATGCGCGGCAAATCAGGCGTGGACTCGGCCCTCTATGCTTCTACTTCTGAATCCGCGTCAGGCTCCTCGGGCTGTTGGCGATTTGTTCCAGCGGGCCACTTGCGATAGACGGCAACGAAGCCACCACCTGCGACGCGCCCGCCGACCTTGGGTCGCATGACGACGACGGGCTCAGTCTCCGTCGCGGGCCCATTGCACGCCGTATCCTCGCCCGCGCCCTTCTCCTCCTCGGCCGGGGCCAGCTTGGGTTTGAGAATCTTGACGTCCCAATGCCTGCCGCCGCAGCCGCCGTCGCGCACGCCGTCGGCGGTGGACGTCGTGGGCATCTCGAGGACCTTTTCCAACCGCAGCGGGGCGCCGCTCTCGAGCGCCCAGGCTTGAAACTCGGCAACCTGGGAGATGGACGGGTAAAAGAGCACGAGCACGGCATTGTCGTGCAGCGCGGGGACGAGCGCCCCGGCGGCGCCGCCGGTGTGCTCGTGCGCGGCGGGCAGATCGAGCACGGCGCGGGCAAATACGGGCCGTCCGCCCGAGGCCGCGAGCCGAGCGGTCACGTAGTCGCCGACGGCGCCGACGTGAAAGTCAATGTCGGCGAGGTACTGGGCGCGGCGGAAGCCGCGGACGAGCTTGTAGGCGGCGCGCGTGTGCTTGCCGCTGCGGTCGAGCGTCTTGAGCACGGCGCGCCGCGAGGCCTTGTAGGCGGCGAGCTGGGCGGCCTCGTCGGCGGAGAGCTCGAGCATACCGCCGGCGGATGCGTCGACGTTGCGCGCGAGCGGCGCGGCGCGGAGCATGTGCCGCACGGGCGCCGGCACGGGCGGGTTGGCGGCGTGCAGGGCGCGCGCAATGTGCAGGCTCAGACTGCCCATGCCGGTGCCGGCCTCGAAGACCTCAAACGGGCCGTCGTCGGGCTTGCCCTCGTCGTTGTCGGTCTCCTCCTCGCCAGGGCGGACCGGGTGGAGGTCGAGCAGCGACACAATGGTTGCCGCGTCACTAGGGTAAATCTACAACGATGACATATATGAAGCGTTAGCGGGAGGGAAAGAACAAGCACTGCAAAAAAAAAGGAGGTCGTGGGCAACACAACGGGAGGGCGGGCACGCACCGGCGTCGCTACTCTGTCGCTATTAACAATGTAGCTTGCGAGGGTAGGCTCGTAAATGGCGACGGCATTGCCCTTGTCGTCGACTGTGCGCTCCAGGATGTGCTTGCCAATCAGGTCAGAGGCCGACACAGAAGCGCCGTAGGAGAGGCGGACGCGGGTGTCTCGTCGGATGGGCGCTGTGAGGTGCCATTTCGGGAACTTGACGCCTTGCTGGCGCAGGAATAGCACATCAAACTCTGATTGTTGCCTTTGGGTTAGTGGTGGTTTTTTTTTTTTTTCCCTTTGGCGTAGCATATATTGTTGGGCTGGTGGGATGGGAAGAGGGGGGGAAGAGATGGGTGTTGTTGTTGTCTCTCGAACCTTTTACTGTTCTATATGAAGATGAGAGTCTTTTACACGCGTCTCTTGTTATTATTCTGGTGGCAGCACGACAGGATGGCGTAGTCAATATCATTGCAACAAAGTTTTTTTGTCTTGTCCCAAAAGGGGTTTGAAGGTGAAGGTTTGTTCAAAATTCGGCACCCCACAGCCACCGATGCCAATGGTCTATCTAATAGGTAACTAGGCTGCCAGGGCCGGGTTATCTCCGAATAATGAATGCGCGGCTGTGGCTGCCGCTGTGGCTGCTGGCGCCCCAGGAAACAAATTTCCTGACTTTCGTTTTCTAAGTCTGCGACATTTTTCGCCTATTTTCATAGAGCGACATACCTTTCCAATGTGTCATTCATGTACGCACAGTAGTCCGATTATATAGTTAATAGTGAGATGGGCCATCGTGGAGATGCGCATCGAGACGGGGCCTGACCCCATAAGCTCCAGCGTATCTTTGGTGATGGTCCGGTTGTAAATATATTCCTAGAATTGACGTCTTTGTATCCTGCCAGTCGAAGAAAAGATGACACAGATTGGACAGTTCTTGTAGACTTGCAGAGAGCAACCGCCATCTAATTGCCGTCGCGGCGCCATGTGCGACACCACATATCAAAAGCCATGCGCCACCACATCTGCCAAAACACGAACCAACCTGCTCAATAGTAAAGAGTGAGAAGCACTGCCCTAATGAATTTTCGTTTTTTCTCGGATAGCAAGAGAAGACGTCATATTCAATCTGTTGCATATCTTTTGCCTGGTGGTTTGGGCCTATGAATGACCAAAGCTGCCTCCTGCGTGGTGTTTTTTTTTTTTTTCGTTGCTCTATTGGGTCAACTCCTGTGCTTTTATAGATTGCTACACATCGAATCGGAGAAATCAATCAACACATTCAGTAGAAACATTTCAATACTGGTCGACTTGGCCCATGTCCACATGAACCTTGGAACGCTTACTTGGCGCGAAATGCGGCAACTGTTTCTATACGAAACTACTGACTCTATGAGACCGGAATGCTGTGTGGTACTTTGTTCCGTGTGCAGCAGTAACTATGGTTTCGCTTAATGATTCGCGTTGACAGCAACCCCCCATATACATCTATCTCCCCCTCTCCCAGCCATCGTAGGTAAACCCCCAAAAAACAAGAAAAAAGAAAAAAACTCCTACAGCTTCGACTCCCTCGGCTGCGCAAAATTACTGCCCCCTAGCGCCGATGATACACGATCCACCGACTTGAGCAGCCACTCGCTGCCCTCGTCCCCGGCCAGCCACCTCGCCGCCCTCTCCTCGTCCTCGCTCATCCCGTCCTGCTTGTACGTCCCGTCGCTCAGCGCCTTGCGCAGCCCGAACACGTGCGACAGCACCTGCGGCCCAACGCCCGTCTGCGCGCGCAGACACGCCACCGCCACCACGCTCGTCATGACCCTCCCCAGCCGCCTTCTGCCATCATCACCCTCCTCCAACACCAACTCTTCTTCCCCTTCCCCCGGCGGATCCGCCAGCAGCGCCGCATAGTGGCTGTGCAGAATGTGCACCGGCAGATCCGGATGCGCGCGCGCCAGCTTATCGTACAACTTGGTTTCAAACGGCGCGTACACCGAGTCCCAGAGCGCGCGGCCCCGCGCCGTCGTTGCCGCGAGGCTGTTGGGGCCCGCGCCTATATCTGGCGTCCGCGTCGGCCGCGTGCGCAGCGACGACGTTACGGCCGGGGGTAGCGCGGCGCGAAACGCGTTGAGGCAGTTGATGGTGCGCGGGATGCCGTTAAAGGAGATGCACTTGAGGCCGACTTCGCGAATGAGCTCGGCAGCGGCCGTCGGGGAGGAGCACGCGGTCGAGGCGACCGAGTGCAGCGCGGAGAGTGAGTCGGGCGAGTTGAGCGTAAACGTGGCGGCGGCCTAATATACTCTAGAGATTAATACGATAGTTTTCCGTGTTTTTCTTTTTTCTGTTATCTCAAGAGGAACTCGGGACGAGGAATCCCTGGGTCGGGGGTCGGGGGAGGGGGGGGGCAGTAGTACCGAGAGAATCACCCACGGACGCGGACCGAGGTTGCGCGCTGCAGCGTCCTGCGCGATTCGCGCATATACGTCGCGGATGCCGCTTGGAGCCGGGCAGGGACCAGGGCGCGCAGCGGGCGCGTTGATGAGCGCCTTGAGAGCGGGTGAGAGCTTCGTGGTCATACTGCTGCTGCTGTTGCTGCTGTCGGTGTCGATGTCGTCGTTTGCGTCGTCGCTGGTAATGTCGCGCGATTCGGGCATCTGCGGCCGGCGGGGAAAAGGGGACGCGGTTGGGGCCCTCTGCTTTAAATAGTCGTAGCGGCACGTTAATATGCTCTCCTTAAACTTTGTAGATGGATAAGTTTAATGCCGTCAAGTCCATGGGTTGGAGAGGGGGGTGGTGGCCAAGAAGATAAGATATAGGCGGGCGGATGGCCGGCGTTAGTCGACACGATCCGCGGGGCGGAGACCACTTTTGGAGGCCGTACCGATGACGAATGGCGACAGAGACGGCGGCCATTAGAGTGCGCAGGCAAAGAAAGGGGGTCAACTTTGGAATGGGGAATTACTAGAACGGGTTATAATGTGGTTCTTTTCGGAAATTTCAGGTAGTCATGGATATGCTGGAGAAGCATTGCACGCATCCTCTTCTTCCACTCTGCGTAATCAACACCCCAAATTGTAGTTCATCAGACGCACCAAGAAGCAACAAAGGTTCTTGTTAGCAGCAACGGCCATCATTTTTAAAGAGTATTGTACTAGATGAATGATACTGCGCTCGCACGCATCTGATTCCTTTTTAAATTTCTGCCCAATCGCAACATTCTTCAGATAATTTTGTGCCAAGAAGATCTGCAGCTGCGCCATAATGCGCCACTGTAAGAAAAAGATCAAATAAAAAAATAAAATAAAAAACAAAAGCGCCTACCACTCCTTGCTTCAACTTGTCATCATTCTACATGCCAAACTCCGGAAAAGGTAGCCAGTCAAAGTTGTTCATGTCCTGCCATGAAAGCCCGCCAAACGACGGCTCGAACCCGTTGCCTGGTTGGTTCAGCACGTGCGTGATTTGATCGCCCGACATGGCCGAGAACTGCAGCGTCTCCGGCCACAGCATGGGCTGACCAGCCATCTGCGTCTGCTGCTGTGTATGTGTATTCTGGTGTCGCTGCATCTGCGCGTGCGGGTGCATGAGCTCCGGCTGCTGCTGCTGCTGCTGCTGCTGCTGCTGCTGCTGCTGCTGCGTATGCATGGTGAGGGGTGGCATGATCGCGGGCGCCGACGTCGTCGTCGCCGGGTTCATTGCGTACATGGGCGCGTTACTGCTCGCCATCGTGTGCGCGACTGCATAGTCCGTCGCGCCCGAGGAGGCCTTTTTGGTCGTGACGGCCTTGCGGACAATCTGCCGCAGGTACTTGCCGTAAAGCACCGAGAGCCCGTTGCGGTGCTTGGTGATTGTACCGAGACGCTCGAGCACGCCGGCCGCCTCAACAATGAGCTTTCGAATGCTGGGCGCGAGCGCCGAGCTGTCGGTCGTGTAGGCGCTGAGGGTAAGCGCAAAGCATGCGGCGAAGCAAATCATAATCGTCGTGTTGTTGGGCATGGACTGCAGCAGTGACTCGCCCTGGATGGCGGCGCGCATCACGTTGAGCGCTGAGGAGAGGCCGGCCGTGCGGAAGAAGCGCCGCACCTCGATGGGCGCCGTCGGGTGGTTGATGACACCGCCATACGTCGACAGGCGCGTATGGCTGACGAGAATCTCAACGTATGGTGGAAGTCGTCGATCTGCAAAGCGGGTTAGGGACGGCCTGGCGACATGATTCTCCAACAGGACAAGACGTACCTGGTCCAACGCCAATGGACAAGTCCCATTTCGAGTGCCACTGGGCGAAAAAGTGCTCAATCGCGTCTTCGATGCTGCACATAATCAGTATGTGTTTCTCGCTGCTACACTCATGCCAACACTTACGACCGTGCTATTAATGAACCGTCACTGCTGGTATTCTGTGAACCGTCGCAAAGAGAACGGACATTGTTAAAAAGCACATCCTTGATCAATCAGCTTCTACACAGCAAATGGAAAGCTCCTGTCAATCTCACCAGGTCTCTACGCATCACGGCCATGGAAACTGCATGCCCATCTTGAGATGCGGCAATGGTCGATTTGTGCCAGTCGTCGCAGTCTTTAATCAGACGCGTTACGGGGACCATAAAAGGTCGTCCGCGAGCAAGACCCATGCTACATCGTAATTAGCCACGACACGAGACACTGTCCATTTCCCATCCGGTGCTTACCCTCGTTCAACGACATAGAGCGAGATCCAGCAGCGCTCGCGTGACCGCAGCAGAATCATGCCGCGTTCGGACCACGGCTCCACGCCCTCGTAGCCGTCAATCTCGAGTGCCGTGTTAGTGTCCAGGCACTCGCCGCGCGCCAGCGTCAGGCCAATGCCCGAGTCGAGCACGCGTTTCGAGACGAGCGTCTTGTGCATGAGCAGGTCAATGGCAATGGTGGCAGCCATGGAAATGTACCAGCACGTCTCGTCGTCGGTGCTGCGCTGGCCGGGGAAGATCCAGGGAATGTTGACGACAAAGGCAAGCACAATCTCGACGGAGCGGTGGCGCCGCGTGATGACGCGTTGCGCAAGCGTCTTGACGTGGTTGGAGAGGCGCTTGGAGAGGCTCCCGGCCGAGGGCACGAAGAGCGCGGCGCAGGCCATGAGCGTCGTGGTGAGAAAGGCGGAACGCGTACGCGTAAAGGAGACGGTGTAAAGGTCTGGGTCGAGACCCCAGCGTGTGTGTGCGAGCTTTTCATGGAAGCTGACAGCTTGTTAGAATGAATGGTGAGTGAGGATCGGCGTGTCAAGGGACTTACTATGTGAAGAGCATCTCGGCCTCGTCTTCCTCGACGAGACCGAGGGAGATGGGGTCAATGTCGTCGCCAATGTCCAAATCAGAACGCGTAATGGAAAAGAAGTCGTTGAGCTTGGCGTGTTCAAGGGCGCTGTTATCACTGGAGGCGGCGACGTCTTGCCTCGTCTTTGGCGGCAGTCTTTGCCCGCGCTCCTCTGCTGACGGCGTAAAGTACGATGCTCTGGCCAGCAGCTGCAGAGGATTCTCTGCATCGTCGACTGCAAGGCTCTCACCGTGCGGTCTGTGGTACCCCGAACCTCGGTCAGGCTCTACATCTCGCACACTGTTGCTGGCGCTCATGCTGCTACCATGGTGACCGCTGGCTCCCGTAGCGATTCCGGACACGGCATCTTCGTTGTCATGGCCATGGATGTCGCCATCCTCGCCGTCTTCGTCCTCGCCGTCTTCATCCTCGCCGTCGCTCATGGAGTCGTCGCCAGCGCCCGTGTTGCGCGACTCGTTGCTGGGCGAGATGCCGCTGCTGCTGCCGCCGACGCCGCCGCCGCCGCCGCCGCCTCCCTCCGCCTCGTGCAAAATTCCCCGTAGTCGGGCCAGCACCGTCTCATCCGCCTTGCTACCGTGGCCGGCCTTGCCAGCGCGGCGAGCCGCCTGCTGCACCTGATATATGGCCTTGTCTATACCAACTCTCTTACTGTGAGACGTGGATCAGCGGTTAGCAAAAGTTGTGCGATATGCACGCGGATCCGTCGCCAGCTGGCCGGTAGCTTACTTTTTGATACCGCGCTGTCGGCCGGCATGATAGTCGGGTCTGACGCATTCGCTGTTCATTTGAAGACAGCGGCGACAACGGCCCTGATCGGGAAGATATTCGCATTTAATCTTGCCTCTGCGACACACGAGACAAGCTGCCTGTTTGAGGCCAGTCTTGGGCGGCGACGCGCTGCCCATCGTGAGGTCAACTGCTTCTGCTCGTTCTAGATGAGCTCAAAATTCGCCAGGGGAGGAAAAGTGTTTTCCTATCACACGGCGCGTGCGCCCCCGTTTGCATGCGCTGCTGCGGGCTTGTCACTCTGGTTGCCCCGAGGCGGCAATTCTTAATCTCAAGGGCTGGGCTGGGCTGGGGGCTGCTCCTCGCAGCAGGTGCATACCCATCGCCAGCAGGGGACAAGATCAATTCTAGATACGAAAACGACAGATTCACGATGGCGGGAGATGCGCAAGGTCCTGCATGCCGCGAAGTCGATGAAGTCGCTGGGCGGTGCTTGTTGCTGATCTGCCTAGCTAACCAACAAAGCGCTTGGTGCGACGTTTGCTCAGCCAGTGGACTAGTGTAACCTGTGCAGCCCTGCGATTGGTGCTAGCCGATGCCGCTTCCACTAACGCGCGCGGTATGATCCGCAAGCAAAAAAAAAAAAAAAACTAAATACAAACAGGTGTGTATAGAAATAACACAAAGCGCGCCAATCACTATAGTCTATAGAAGATTTATCTGCCTCCCAACTACGCTTGCAGTTGCAGGTCAAATACAGATGCAGCGAGGTTCATCAGACGCCGCTCGATCGATTGCCCCGGTAAATAGGTAGGTGCAGGATACGCCTAGCAAGCTTGAGATGTCACTGTAACTAGATTGGCGATTTCGCATCCACGTCTTGCAAGCTACCTACTTGGTAGGTCCATTTAAAAGGTCGTCTCGATCTAGAAGAGCTCAACACCATCAACTGTAAGCTATGGAGGTCTCCGGCTAGCGCAAATGGCACAAAGCTTCCATCTACATGCATCCGTGAAGCTAGGCTTGGTGCTGTCCCAGCTGAATCAAAGGGTGGAGAGGTGTGGCCATGAGGCCCATGACATGGGAAACTCGTCTGATGCTGGGGCAGCCGTTGTGCATTTATTTCCCGGTGGTCGTTTCAACGACACGGTACTAGCGTTGAAAATTATCTAACCCCCAAGAAACCCGCAGTCTGTCCAATCATGCGAGTTCTTGGCATTCGACTTGATACTGGACACGCTCAGTTTGCCGCCTTGGAGTACCACCATATCAGCATACGGAGGAGCATTGTCGCGGCTGCCTTGTCCTTTTTCTACCATCTACTGCATGATGCATTACACTGTGATTACACCCATCACCCAAATCATTTTGCATTGCCAAGTTGCATTCCAAGTCGCTCCTCCAATCTTGCTCTGCCTCCCTCCTCCACCTCCCTCCACACATAGCTTTCCACACATAACCTTCCCCAAACGGAACAAAAAAAATCAAGCGCGAATCCAGTCCCTCCGTTTCCAAACCAGCCCCAACGCCACAATCAAAACGGAACGTGGAGAGACCGTTTTTTTTTCTTGTTTCGGTGGCTTTGGGGGGCGAGGAATGCATGGTTGACGGACAAGGTTCAAGGGGGAGAGAGGGCCGCCGTCGGATCACACCATTGGGTGGCATACCATGACTTGGTTCGGCCCCATGCACACTTTGCGTACCAAGAAGCGCTTGATCAAATCCTGACTCGGCGATGACTTCCTTTATATTGATATTTAGCCCGGATGCTGGCAATTTGTCGTGTTGAGGCGAGCTGCTGACAAGCGACTCCCCAACGCTTGTATTGGTGGGCTGAGGCAGGGGGAGAGGGTGACTGTGAGTGTGTTCACGGCAATTGTTCTTGATAGATGTGAATGCATGTTGCACATACATTTTGCGCAGGGAAAGAATTAAATCTGACAAGCCGAGGCTCACGCGACGAATGCCCTCATCTTTGACTGCGTGGCTAAGGCTGTCATACTGGTGGACCCTGAATTTAACCCAAGACATTACCGCGGGGTTGCCGCCCCGGTTAAGTGTATGAATATTTGCATGATTCGTTATACATAGCCAGCCCGTGTGTCCATGCTTCAGTGTTTTATGTATTGAGCACGCTATCCTTACTTTATGCAATGACCTTGGCGAGAAATCGCGGCAATTAGGACGGGGGTATTCCTACGCTGCATAGACAGGGGAGGAACTCGCCCAAAGGGGAATATATAGCCTACGTTATGTGGACTATGTTCGATGCATTCTGATTGGTCGCCTACTTATGATCCTGGCTGAGCAAACAGTCTACTTTATTGCGCGGAAGCTTCTACTCAGAGGATTTGATTGGTCGCATAGACTGTTGAGAAAATGTCAGACGAACCGATGTAAATGGAGTATCTTCGGCGAAGACACTATAACTTTAGTTGTCGCTGTGTTATTGTGGCCGCTTTTGCCGGCGAGGAAAGTCGCCCTTTTTGGTAATTTTCTGCCCACATCAAAATATAAAGGCCGGAAATAAGGCCGAGGAAGAGGCGCAACACAGCGGCTCCAACCGTGTATATCCACTCGAAAAAAATCTGTTCTTGTTCTTCTTGAGTTTCCATAAGTGCTAGTAAGGAGAAAGCGATGAACTTTACAAATCGACATGAAAAGTGACTAAGGGGGCCAACATTCTCTCTCTAGAAGGGACCAAATGCCCTGCTTAATACCTGTAGACGTCATCAGACATGTCATTACGACTCAACAGCGATTCTGTCATGTAGATTGCGCCTAATGCTAATCCGGATTTTGATAAAGGGGTTGGCGTGTTGCAAACACACATCATCAGGTGTCCAAGTTTATCTCTGAGTTGTGATATATGAAAGTAGTTTCAACACTCCCCCCCTATGCAACTCGTACAACTTTACTGTATAAAATTCAGTCTTCGTTACGCCCGGCGACTTTAGCAGATAGGATGTTGTGACAACTTGATTGTGGTTGGTGTGTCGTGGTATGAGTTTCCAACATGATCGAACTTGCGACACTTGCCCGAGCTCTGCAGGATGGCACAGCCCTATATCATTAGTCTAAATTTAGCTTAAGTCTCTATGCTTACAAAAACGGCAAACCCACATATTGAGTGGATGTTTCCCATATTATACCATGCGTGGAGTCAAACACGAGCGAGCAGTTGTCTCAATGCCTCTTCTACGCCAACAATTCGGGTCAACGCTGATATGGCGAGGCAGAATTTTGATCAGAGAGTCATCCACAAGTCAAGGCGAGGTTCATCTGACATCAGCAGTGGTTTTACGGTATAACTTCACCTGGCTATATTAAGTGTACGAGCAAGGGAAGAGCTCAGACAAGTATATAAGTAGCACTGATCTCGTAAGGAAGGTCCATCTCTCTGCCTAGACAGCAACGCAATCAAGTCACAGTCTCAACCTTTCCCAAGTCTTTTTATCAAGCTTCTTTCCTCCAACGCTAACAGCACCTCTTTCACTATGCCGTTCATCGCTCCTGTCATCACTCTTTCCTTGGCCCTCCTGGCTTCCGCCAGCCCACTTCTGTCCTACAGAGCAGAAAACGCAACAAAGTGCGATGCCAGGAACCTTTGCAGCGGCGTGGAGAGCACGGCTTCGCTCGCAGGCCTGTACGTCTGCGGCGACAGTCGCCTTGGTCCGCTCGCGCTAGTCAAGGACAAGTATAGTATGAAGGGCGAGCTTGGGAGTATTCTTGACAACTACGAGCCTTTTGGCAAGATTTGTCCCGCTGCCTTTTTGCAAAAGTATGGCAACGGCAAAGGGTGGTTTGAATATCCCCCCAAGGACGGTTTTGAGCTCGGAAATGATGGGGAAGCTATCAAGAGCAACTACACTCTCTGCCCAGGCGACAAGCTTGACCGCATTGGTCATGAAAATGGAACTTTCCTGGCACCCTTGGGCACCCCATACGAACAGCGATCCTTGGTCCCGGCCAACATGGCAACGAACCCCAAGGCTTCTGAGCAAGTTTTTTCATCTCCAGTTCTTCAAGAATTAGCAAGTATTAACGGACCTTAGCGGAACCCTGTACAATTATCACGTCTATGAAGTCGTCAAGAATCTCACGGTGGAGGCTGGGCCAATTGCACCTTGGTTCGAGCAGCCCGGTAACGGAATGCAGTTTCATCTAGCCATGCCGGTATGGCAGGCCGTTCGGGATGGCTTTCTGGTTGAGCTTTGCAAGCCAGCCACGTATGCGTGCGGAAATAGGCCGGGTACCAACTTCCAGACTTGGTTAACCTGCAATATGAGCGGCAGGTGGGAGGTAAGTTTCCTACACACATGCCCGTGATAATATTCGACATGGGACTAAAACCGTTTTCCCTGTCTCTTAGACTGCTGGAGAGTGTGCCGCCGATCAGCATTGCAAGCTTCACTCGGCAAACACTGTCCCTTCCTGCGAGGCTAAGAAGCTGTCGGCCAACTAATTTTGATTCTTCTTTTCAAGAACCAAAATTGGCAATCAAGAATGGCGGGACGTGGTCGAATTTGTCGGCTATACCGAGTAATTTTGCGTGTGTGGTGGACAACGGCAAGTGGTAGATGGTCCAAACAATGGGGGTTCGTACTGAGAAAGTTACTCCGAGTCTGTATACCAGTGCCGACTATCATACACAGTTTTTTTCTCCCTTCTTCATTATTCAACAGGTTTGTTCTAAGCTGGTCTGCGGGCCCTTTTCAGATCTATCCAGCCACAAGCCCTAGCAGATGGATCCATCTGGCGGCTTAGTAGTTCAAGCCGTTTCAAGGCTGTGCATGCTGATGATAGCTATAAGTGTCTGCGTTATAGAAACAATAGGATGGTCCAGGTTGCTGGCGTCTAATTGTGACCTAGAGTTCTTTCGGCTGAGTCAATATACCGTCGCCTTGCAACACGCTCGTACACGTCTTAATATATAAAATTGTTCACGCCTTTTATAGTTAATTCCGTTGCGCAGCATGTTCTAGCCACAAGGCACGCTCACACCTAGGTTGGGGGGTGTCTAAGTTGTGCTTTAAAATTATGAAAAAGAGGTGCTAGTTACTGTGGAAAAGGACCGAGTCAGTCTTATCAATCAGAAAAAGAAAAATAATTCCTTCTTGTCTCCGGCTTCTGCGTCAAGGTGTACTTTGTTTAAACTTCAAGCCGAAAACACACGATCGTCTCTCTCCGTACACGAACGCAGAGGCAACCGTTCAGATCTCGACAGACTTTTACAAGATCATGTCGATATCGTCCGAACCCACTACCAACGCCCCCTCCTCTACACAGTTTCCCAACACAATGGACAGCACCAAAGTCATGCTTTACAAGTACCACCGCAGAAGGAGTTTACGCCCGAGGAGTTTCGAAAAGCACAATATGTGGGACGATTACCAGAACGTGGTGGACGACAAGGCATACGATGCGACCAACGTTCTGGCGTGGTAATCCTGGAGGAGCTGCTGCCATCTTGTCCCATGCTGGCGCTGTGCACCAAGATACAATGCCAAGGTCCTGCCATTGTTTGCTAACTACTTGGTGCTAGATGGAACGAATAAACGCATCACAGAACACGTCCGAAATTTATATGATACTGCGAGTGTTCTCGTTCAATAGCGACGGAATCGGGTTGCGTGTCTACGTTGATCCTCTCCGGCTGAGAAACGACGAAACACTGCTGTTCACAACGTAATCTTGGACCGTGGTGCCCGGGACTGGTAGAGCCGCCGGCAGAAGATTATTTTCGATCCAATCCAATTAATAACACGTCGTCACTTCTCTGCGGGACATTTTTGCAGGCCAAGTCATCGCCTTGGTTGCAAAGCCTTTGATTTGATCTGGTTCGATTCACGTCTGTTGGCCCCTGGAGGAGGCTTTTGGACGTGCCAACTGGCTTCATCGATATACATTGGCCTAACCCACTGATGAGCTAAGAGAAACTAACGAATTCTAGAGCCCTGGATTCGAAAGGTTTGGGGTTCACCTCTGAGCTTGGACCGGCTGTGACGGCTTAATCCGCCCGTCACTCGTATTAGCACAGCCGGTATTACGTCCTATGATCACTTCCATTGTGGTCAAATAGCCATGCGACATAGAAGCTTCTTTGTCGCAATCGCCAGTAGACCAATACTAGCTGGCTTGGTGCTGACTGGCTGAATATCCATCTTAGCCGCATATCCGGAAAATGGGTAAACGGCATAATACCCCCAGACTATAGGGCTAATGGAAGGGTCAATTGAATCTATCACATTCCTAAATAGGAAGCTCGCTATACTTGGACCTATGTCCTAAAGGACAACGAAGCGACTAACACTTCACGAAGAGGTGGTATTGGCGTATCACGCCACTGTGGAGCTTCTTGTGTACTTTTTTTGAGATGAGTAGATATGTAGTCAGGACATATGGTGTAAGCCAAATGTATATAAAAATCGTGCTCGACTGTCAGTTATTGAGAAGTATTGAGAAGCTTTCCCGACACTCACAATTATCTCAATTGGATAAATTTCAACACAGTCAGTCTTTGAGTTCAATTAGCCTATTATTGGCCTTTGGTTCGATGGATCTGCTTTAGGAGTCTACAAGATTTAGACCTGAACTTTGGGCTGGCGTAATAGGACTAAACAATGGATTGTCGCTAATATTCTAAACAGGCAAGATCTCGTTTCGACAGACTTCAAAGACATTTTTAATCACCACATCGCAATGGCTGTGGCACCACCCCATTACGGCTTAGGTAGCAATTACAACTACTTTCTTGCAGCCGGAGGCGATGCAATTACTGGTCTCGACGTCCAGATAACCTTTGCTGAACCATTGATCTCCGCCTCCAATGGTATTGGCTTTCAGCTTAATACCTACGCTCGTAAGTGATTCTCAGTCTTTGTTGCTGGCCCCCGCGAGTATCCCTGTTTGGAGTGATGTTATACATTCTATGCTCCTGTGGGAAAAGTGCAAGAACAAAGGGCTAACTGCTCTGCAAGAGGAACTTCTTGATGCCCCAAGTACTACTCCCAATTGGCAGCAATATGTGGTCTTTACTGCGCCCGATAGCCGAAACCTCCAGGGTGTTATTGATAACTGGCAAGGAGTCCCAAAGGAGGAAACGGATCAGCAGATAATCAATCATGAAGTCAAGTTGGCCACTCTAGCGGAGGCGAATGAGATACCTGCCAACGCAACTATCAGCATCACGCCCATCTTCGATTCTGCCGACGTAATTACTGGTATTACGTTCAGATATGCTTCTCCGGGGAAGAAGACCGTTTCTCAATCCGTTACTTTGGCCGACCTCGACATCTATGGCACCGACGATAAGATCAACTCGGCGTATGAGTCTCCCATCTCCGCCTTGACGGTCAACATTGTGGGCGACTACAACGGCAACGATGGCGTCTTTACCTCTGGTTTGGGCACCATTGTCTACACCGCCGCTCAGCCTCTGACTGTGCTTACAAACGAGCCAAACTACACTGCGTTCCAGGATGGTACTGGCGAGACTGCCAATACCGTGTATGGGCAACTACCCGTGTCGCGCAGCAAGAAGATTACGCAGACCTGGGGCATATCGGCGGATGGAGTGCCAGTCATCAAACCAGCTGTTGGTCACAAATTGCCAATTCCTCCCAGTGCCAAGTAGAGGCACGAACAATAGAGGGCCAACTTCTCGCCACATTGTGCGGAAGAGTAAAGGTGATTCAGCCAACACGCCTTGTTTGATTCAGAGCTGATTGTATGACAGGTCGAGAAACTTGAGGAATTCCATTGGGAAAAAAGGGAGAAATAGACGTTATATTCAACATGTAGCATTTATAGGTAGCCAATGTCGTATTTGGTGTGCAAGACCAAAGTGTACATTTATCGGTGCGCATCCAACCTTTTGCATCACCATCGTGACGAGCTCGGGAGGTAGCCAGAGAAAAGCCCCATGTTCATGAGATTTACAGGCTAAAAACTGCAGCAATCTCACTCAAGGCGCGCCGATCATCCTCGGTAAGATCCTTTTCGTCTTTCTTGACCAAATCAAGATACTTTGAGCTTGGTAGCTTGTCCTCGATTCTCAGCTCATAAATATCGCTGTCATCAGCCACAGAGATGCGGCTGGCTTTGATATCCTCCCTCCGTAAAATTTCTTCGTAGACGCGAGCAAATTCGGAAGCTTTGGAGCCAACGGCAGCACCTTTCTCTTCAATTTCGGAGTCATAAGTTACAATGTGACTGAGGTGGATTTCGTTGACCCGAACATTGGTTTTGAGGTTTTCAAACGTCATGACTGCAGCGAGGGATGCAAGGGCGCCGGCAGCAATAGAGTTGACACCTCCATATCCCATGGTGGCAAGACCGCCCGTAAGAATAGTGAATGTTGCCTTGGGGCTGGCTTTCTCCAATAAATAGTCAATCGTCGCTCGGTATGCGACTGCATTGGGAAGAAAGGAGAAAGTGATGTTAGCCACAGTGTATAAAGTAAGAGAAGTGCGGGTTTATCGTACAGAAGTCTGCTTCAAAATTGACAGTCATCATTGCATGAAATGTTTCCATATCAACACTTTGAATGGGTCCTTTCAGATGTAACTGGCCAACTGAGTAGTCATTAGCTAATTGTAGGAAGCAGACATTCGGGCCGTATCTCACCAGCAGTAAAGACGTGTTGAAAGTCTGGCAATTTGCCCGCCTTGACTTGATCAACCACATTGACCAAGTCCTGCTCTTGAGTTGGGTCACCATAGGTAAACGTGATGCCCTCTTGTGAGCCGACATGCCGGAGTAGCTTGCTCCGAGACTGCTCATTTCGTATCACTGCCAGAACATTGTATCCTACTCGGCGGGCAGCGAGAATGGCGGGGACGCCAATTTTCCCGGACGCGCCAATGACAAGCACTGTATCGGCCATATCGCTGTGCTATCACACTGGGGTAAGAGAGCTTGAAAGTGCAAGGGAGAAAGTAGGGAAAACAAATTATGAAATAGTGCAGAACATGTAGGCGTTCGAATTATATAGTATTGCGAATTATATCCCATGATGCTGGAGTGGATGCTGATGTGCGGACTTTCTGATAACATCAGCCAATTGTAGGAGTTGATGAATTCGGCGACTGACAGATTCTCCGCCCTCATAGCGGAAACTGTATTACTGCTTTCATAAATAAATATTCCATCAGAAACATTTCTCCGAATAATTCGTTACAATAGGTGTAGCCATATCCAACGCGTTCGACCAACACCCATAGCTCTCCCACTATAACCTTGCCAACCGATGCATCAAGTTCAACAGTTTGTATGCTTTGCTTTCTCAGAGCCAGCTACTGCAAGGTTAAACAATCCCTAAAAATCTCCGTACGGCATTCGCTCGATTGTTATTTTACCATCATCACGTCTCTTCCGCTCCGCGCCTACCGGTCGCGCGCCTCGCGCGCCTCGCGTGCGCCCTTTTTTCAATCAACCCCGCAGTGCCCTTCTGTTGTTTTAGGTAAGTTGCCTTTTCTTATTACAAGTTTTGTAGGCAAATGACGGCTTAGTGGTTTCCCGGGTTTGCTGTGGAGCACCCTCTTGAGGTTACGAGAGAGGGGTCGAGGACGGCCAGGAATCAGCAACAGCCCAAACAAAAACATGGAAACTTGACGACCCAATTTCCTAACCTGAGCAGCTGCTAATCGCTTAGCTCATGACGTATCATTATATTCTGCCTTGACGAACGAGACGTGTTATGACCGTCCTGCTAGGAGGCCGCCTAACATCCGAGCTGGATTACTTACTCATGATGGCAGGTTCTCAATAGCATGCAATTCTAACTCTTAAAAAAAAATGCCCTTTTCTCTTTTAAATCACAGTTTCGAGATACTAAAGCTGGTAAAAGCTATCTTTAGTAGCGTTTATGTGTGAATAGTTTTAGGTACTAGTTAGTCCCCGCCTGGGGCCGTGAACGACGCCTCGCTCCTAGTACCTAGTTTGCGAGGATCCTTGCTGCTTTGTGAAGAGGAAAAAGGAGACCTTTTTTTTTTCGCAGTTGGCTGGCAGGTGCAGTAGCTAAGGATTTGGTTATGGGTTTATTTGATCCCGATACGTGGCACTCAGAGGCGCGAAAGCTAGGATTGCTATAGTGATTGACGCTGCGGACCTGCATAATACATAATTTGTACTCGGCTTTTTGTTCTTCTGAATGTTAACCACGCGACAGCGTCAATTTCGCTTGCCAAAAAAGTCTTTTAGATTATGGCGTACGGTCTATATTTAAAGGTGCCCGCCCTGCTTATCTCGTCTACTTCGTTCTTTTTTTTCTCTATATGCCACAAACGTATGTCGAGATCCCCCGGCCTAATTTCGGGTAGTGAGGACTGATGCGGGTAAATATTCCCCCCCCCCACCCCCTTCCTACACTTCATGCTCCCGCGAAGCTTTCCACTTACCTGGTTGGGAGTAACTTTAATACATTTATTTATACATGTGTGCGCATTGGTAGACAAGCAGCCATGTGCATTCTTCTTGGGCCACGGCTCTGCCGTCTCAAAGCAGTTAGTTCCCGCTCCGTGGTACCATTCTATCCCACCAGAACCTTTCACAGCGCAAAGGCGGATTTCATCACCCTGAATAGCAGGGGATCGCTCACATCGAAACAAATCGACATCTTCATCGGAGATCCCGGGCAAGCTTTCATCATATTTAACAGAGATATAGGCTTCCCTATGAAAAGTTCTATTACACAGCAAGCCGGCATATCACTTAGTTCAGACCTAGAAAAGGTTCCGTTGACATTCTTCCAGAAGTCAAGATATTTTGCGCATGGTACGTGCCTAGCTATTTCCGCCGTGACTTAGCCAACGAGTCTGTGCTTCTAGATGCCACGCCATATCCGCGGATCGCTATAGAGACAGATTTACCGCGCCAGAATGATTCAAATATAAGTCCTGCAACCCTTTGGCTCTGGGGTGCCTCGCATTCAATCACGTTGGATGGAACAGAAGACCGTATACACTCTTGTCCCTCTGTAAATACAGGATAGAAGCTAACCCCCTTTACTATTTAGATAAATTCGAGGAATCAGCGAGAGAAAGTCATAGCCGTTTAAAGGGGGCTTCTGACCTTTTACGGGATATGTGAATTCTGATTAGTCTTTTCCACAATATAAGCAGAAAAGTACGGCAAACTTCTTTTTGCTCGTATCCTGCGGTGGGAGCCGCGCACGTTACCCCTACGCAGCGACAGGCACTAAAAAAATAATAGCACTCTAGCTATATTCAGTATCAAGTTCCAAGCTAGCACTGCTCGTTTTGCTTCTAATTAGGCTTATTCAGATATATTACCAAGGATGCCAGTAGTGAACTTTCCGTCTAGCCTGTATATAATTCCAACTCTAAAAAATAAAGACCTTTTTTTTTCTTTTAAATTATAATTTTAAGATAATAAAGCTAGTAAAGCTAGTTTGGGTAGTGTTTATATTATAATTAGTTTTAGGGACTAGTTAGTCCCTGCCTAGGGCTATAAACGATAAGTCTTCTTAGGCTAGTAGCTATTATATTTTATTTTTCATAGCTATCTTTATTACTATCTATCCTAAGGCATCTTTTTAAAGGCTATCTTTATTAAGACAATCTTTATTAAGGCCATCTGTCTTGGTAATAAATGGCACACAGATAAAATCCAGAGTTTCTCAGCCGTATTCCTGTGATCGGGATGGGACAGCGCCTGCCACAGCAGCTTGCGGCCCTGTGCTGCAGCAAAGCCTATGGCGGAAATCGTACCCCAATATTTGGCGGCGCTTATGGTAGAGTCTTTGGTAAAAAGAATTTTTTCTTTCTTTCTTTTTTTTTTTTTGTTTTTGCAGACGCATTTTGATAAATCGGGCGATCGGGGTCGTTTTCCCGCTCATGCCATTAAATCGGAAATACCCATGTATTATTCGCCCGCTTATAAAAGCTAATAATTGTAAGACCAAGTGACGCCCGCCAGTGATTCTCTCAACCCTGGATTAATACCCTTTTGATTATAAGCTTTATAGCTTTCTCAGCTACTTCCTAGGCTATATTTTCGTATTTTTTTTTCTTTGCTTGAGTCGGATCATTATATGCAACCCGCCTTTCGTACCCGTAGTGTAGTGGTTCAACACCGTGTTAAACCAGCCCGCTACACTGGATTGCGAGGCACAGTGTCACCAAGGCACCCCTTATTAGCGGGCACCCACTTCCACAATACAACATCCTTAACCTCTGCCTGACAGGCAGCGGCTTCGTATTCAGCCAAAAAGGGTCTTAAATCGAGAGTCTAGGCAGCTACAGCGTCATTGCGTCAAAGCGTGTCCTTTCGGAAGGCGGGGCGATTTACATAATTGCACGGGCACCGTGAATACGGCAGCCACCGGTACCCAGTACCCAGCACACGCTGACTTCATACGCGTAAACACTCTGCTTCTACTATAAAATCGGCCTCCTGTTCCATCATTTTGCTTGCTGGTCCAAGTCAAGTCTCACTGATCGAAAGATTGATCAGTATTCATCAATGAGCAAACAAGGGCGCCCTGGGATTGCCAATTCCGGCTTCGCTCGTGTCTCCCGCACAGTGACTGCCGACTTGGAACATGTCCTGGAGCAATACGATCACGACTATGATCGGGTACCGGCCTCATTGATCCATCTCGGCGACCATTGGTCTGCCATTTTCAACCCAAATGTCGCTCGCGAGCTCAATGTAGAGCTTGTCAAAGAATTCGGGCCGCATCAAAGTTTTTGTCCCATCATGGACGTGAGGTTCTCACCAGACGGTCGCCATCTGGCATCGCGAAGCTGTGGTGGCGCCAAAATCTGGAATGTCCAGCAAGATTGGCAGAAAATGCACGACTTTCCCGACAGTCCCACCTCGGATAAAGGCATGTTTGGGGGCGAATCCGAAGCTATTCGCTTCTCCCCGGACAGCAGACTTGTCGCAACTGGTGGGGGAGGGGGCGACATTCTCATCTGGGATATGGAGAGCGGCTCTCGCAAGCATCGAATTTCTGGTCATGATGGTGGTGTGAGGGCGCTAGCTTTTTCCAACGACGGGAAAGTGCTTGCAAGTAGTGGTGGGGATCAAACTGTGTGTCTCTGGGATGCCGAATCGGCCGACTTGATCAAGAAATTTGCTGTAGAAGGTGCAGTCCTTGACGTGAACTGGTCACCAGACGACAGTCTACTCGCAGCATCTTCGGGACACGACATCATTATTTGGGATGCTGGTACAAAAAGCGTCCTGAGTAGGTTTGAGACTAAATCTCAGGGACGCTCGAGTTTGATCGCCTCGCTCGTATTTTCCCCGAATGGCAAAATGCTTATATCTGGAGGTTTTGATGGATGGATCAAAGTTTGGTCCTTGGAAGACGGCATCCCAGACAATGAAGCGCTTCTACTGCAACTACGGGGACAAGAGGTATGTCGCGCGTTTTCCTGGTATATGTCTAGTGCCGCGACTGACGCGAGTATCTAGGAGGTGATCTGTAGTTTGGCCGTTACACCAGACAACAGATGGCTCGTCTCGGGCTCCAAGAATCGTGACCTTTTGTTGTGGGATCTACAGAGTGGTGATGCGCAAGTTCTAGTATCTGCGTTTGCAAATTCAGTGACGGGAGTCGACGTGTCTACAAAAGGGGACCTGATCGCTACATCCTGCGGCGATGGCACGATTCGTATCTTTTCATACAGTCCTTACGCGTCGCCGGAACCCGAGGCCGCAGCCAAGGTGTATACGCACGGAAGTTTACGCGGTTTCGATATGCCACTTGGCCATTTCCCCGCACACCATTTTCCCATCATGACCGGGAATGTAGGCGACTGGCTTTCTCCGACACTGTCTATCCGGGAGCTTTGCATGCTCAAGTTCATGGACGAGATTACCGACAAGCCCGACTGGTGGACCAAGGTTCACGACGCAGTCATTGCCGGCCGCTGGAAGGCCGAGGCGCTGGATGCTAAATGGGGTTCATATCGCCGCTACGGGGACTTTACATCCGCCATGGCGGACGCGGTAAGACTGGATAATGCCTATGCGCGTCCCCCCCTTTAAAGAACGAGAAACTAACGCGCTCATATTCAGTGTATCGCAGAGCTGCATAAAAAAGCACAATTGGTGCAAGCATGTGGTTTTGTACCCACCTTTGACTACTCTACGTGCGTTGTCAAATCTGATTCCATGATGGATGACACACTTGCTAGTGCACTAAAGTCCTCGTCCTTGGTACTCGAACAAGGGCTGCAGGGCAAAGGCTGGCATCCCGGCAGCGACGGCAAGGTGCTTGACTTGGTTCATCCCTCTGTCTGCCCCTTGGTGTATGGCCAGTCTCGCGTGCTCACACCCGGACAAGTCGTACCTCGCGATTCATGCGTGTCCATGATGGGCGCAGGCCAAGTCATCACCGACCCCGGTCAAGCAGCCAGAAAGGGTGTGCGAGCATATAATTACTTCTCTACTCGTTTCCAGTGGCTGCCGGCCGAGGTGCTCATCACGAATGGAAAGGTCAAGATTGACAGCTATATCAACAACCTCCACCCGCAGGAGCATCCTGGCATTTACTCAATCATCGAAACGCTCATTGAAAAGTCCTTGCCGGCCTGGGACCTTGTCTATCGATGGCCAGACGAATTCGCGCATCAGAGGCTAGTCGTCAAGTCTGTCGTTCCAGAGTGCCTGACTCCGGATATCTGCCAGGAAACTTATGAGTGTAGCCCCAGCAACCGCCCGTTGGATACGGATGAAGAACCTCGATCAGACGAGGAGGAGGAGGAGGAGAATGAGGAGGAGGAGAATGAGGAGGAGGAGAATGAGGAGGAGGAGAATGAGGAGGAGGAGAATGAGGAGGAGGAGAATGAGGAGGAGGAGAATGAGGAGGAGAATGAGGAGGAGGAGCAGGAGGAGGGGAAGTCTGACTCTGCAACCTTGGACAACAACGACGCCGCCAGAACTATTCCAGAGCAAGGTAAAAATGATGCCAAGGCAGTCCGAAGGATGCGCGACAGTCAGTGGTGGGAACAGACACATCCTCTGCGCCTACCCAATCCAGCCGATGATGGCTTCGCACGCGGCATCAAACCAGAAGACATTGCGTCCTCGGAATATTTTCTCCGCACAGGCAAAGGTGCGCAACGAATTCAGGTCATTGTCAAGCTGGCCAATATACATCTATCCCCGGAAAACCCAGCGTACGACGGAGGATCGTGGCACGTCGAAGGCTTGCTGAATGAGCACATTTGCGCCACGGCGCTGTTTTACTACGACAACGAAAACATTACCGATAGTCGACTCGAGTTTCGGTCGGTCGCGAACAGAGAAGACCTCACGGGCGACCTGGACTATGCGCAAAACGACTTTGATTCGATCAAGCGGGCATTCGGCATCGATCCCGAAGGCAGCACAATGCAGGACATTGGTGAGATTTCGACGCGCCAGGGTCGAGCCATTTTCTTTCCCAATATACTCCAGCACAGGGTAAGCCCGTTTCGGCTCAAGGACGCCTCTCGTCCCGGCCATCGCAAGATTGTCGCACTGTTCCTCGTGGACCCTGCCATACCAATCATTTCCACCGCCAACGTGCCGCCTCAGCAGCGGGACTGGTGGCGCAATGCGGAAAAGAACGGCGGAGGAGGAGGAGGAGAGGTGAAAGGCGAGGGTGGCTCGACTTTGGGCAAGACGGGCGTGGCTGATGGCTTGATGGACAGTGAGGAGGCAAGTAGGATCATGGAAGAGCTCATGGCAGAGAGAACGATGCATCAGGACAAGGCAAACCATGACTTGCGGGAGCTGGATTGGGACTTTTGCGAGCACTAGGTGAAGAGGAATACTACAGCAGAAATGGATTCGCATGACTTTCTCCGCGTTTTGAGGATGCATTCTTACAAACTTGTTCGATGAAAGATTTGAATTATAGCTATTTTAGGAAAGTAGCTCGAAATTCTTGCACGAGGGATGTCAGTGCGACCAAGTAGACACCTCGTATGCTTTTGTCAACTTCTTGAACAGTGAGCTAGAACTACATCTTTAACTTTGTCTATTTATTTACTTTTGTTTCATTTATACTTTTTTTTT